GTGAAACTGAGCACAGCTGTATTCAATTTTAGGATACTAGCTTGGGAAACTTCCCTAGAGTTTGAAGGGAAACAACAGTTTTGAGAGACTGTCCACCCAACTTAGGAGAGAGGGATGCTGAATTTTGAGATACAAAAAACTGTGTCTCTTTATTGGGATAACAAGATCCTAATTTGTCAACCCTTCCAATATTAAAAGCATGTTTTGCTACTTAGAAAATTCACCAGGGTTAGGGATACTTACCATACTTGCTTGCCCTAAAGTAGTCTTGTGGTATTTTGGAAAATATGGTCAATGGAGCAGCTTTGAAATCAGTTTAAAAAAGGTTAAATCTGAATTTGTTAATGTTGTTTCTTCTGATACTCTGGAGAAGTCATTTTAAGCCAGGATTATTCACAAGGCTGTCATCAATCTCGTAAACGGGGTTGCTAGAGGAGGATTTCAAAGTGTCTGTGTGCTGGCATCACCCACTCCCTCCCCGCTTTTTTTTTGAGGCAGGGTCTCACTGTATAGTTCAGGCTGCCCCTAAACTCTGTGTAGCCCAGGCTGGCTTCAAACTTGCAAGCAATCTTCCTGCCTCAGCCTCCCAAGTGCTGGGATTTCGGGCATGTGCCATCATGCCTGGCTGGCATCCCTTTTGAGGATATCCTTGTTTAAGTGCCTTTCCTGGCTCTCTTGGCATGCTCTTTTCCTTTCTGTCACTTTTAAGTTTTTAATTCCAAAATACTTGCTACTGTTAGCAAGTAGAATGGAGAAAAAAAAATCAAATGCTTAATTCCTATCATTTTGTTTTGAGATCATGTATCGTTTTTGTGTTGTTTTTGTCTTCATTATTGTTGTTAGTTTTTTTCTCTTTAAAATAAAACTTAAAGAACAAATGCTTATTGGAGGAATCTGCTGCTTGCTCTCAGCAATATTTGTTGCCTTCCAATGAATGATACGTTCGTATAATTTTATTTTATGGATTCATATAATCTAAAACTGAGAAGGAGAGAGGGTGTATTTTAAGCATGGTTACCATGGTGTCTCATAAGGGTTTTTATTTCAGGCGCAGGCAGAGGCTAAAGAAGCAGAAATGAGCAGGAAGGAGTTGGGCCTTGATGACGGGGCGGATAACTTGAAAGCACTCATTCAGGTAAACTTGCTAGGTTGCTGCCCCTTCTTTCATGGTCTGACTGCTACTGCTGGTAGTCTCTCTGGAGTGTGTGTATGGTATGGTACTGTAGTTTGTTTTAAGATATAGCTCACACCATCTTGTATTTTTTTTAAGAATGTACGAATTGGGGATGGGTATGGTGGTGCACAGCTTTAATCCCAGCACTGTTGGGAGGCTGAGGCTAAAAGATCACCAGTTTGAGCCCAACCTGAACAATTTATACCTTAGCAAGACTCTCAAAATAAAAACTTCAAAAAGAGCTAAGGTGGGTTCAATCATAAGCCAGTACTGTGAAAAAAAAGAAAAACAAGGAATGTACCGTTGAATACATTCACAGAGTTATACAGCCGTCGCCACCATCTCATTCTAGAATACTGTCACATTCCAGAATGAACCCACAGCCACTCGCAGCCATTCCCCATGCTCGTTTCCCCTAAGTCCCTGGTAACCATTAAGTACTTCTGTCTCTGTGAAGAGTGTATTTTGAAAGCTGTGTTTTCTCAAACAGAGCAGACAGAAGGATCGCCAAAAGGAAATGGACAGTTTTCTGGCTCAAATGGAAGCAAAATACTGCAAACCTTCCAAAGGAGGAGGGAGAAAAGCAGCCCTCAAGAAAGAAAAGAAATAATGGAATTTTTCTCATCAGAGGTCCTATGGTATCAGTTGGTGCTGTTGTAGACAAGGGGCACTCAAGATTTGAAGGCAAAGTTAACCTAACCCTTAAGAGTTGTCTTTCCAGCCAAAATTATTTAGATTGATTAAACCAAGCAGAATTTCTCAACCTGATGTGAGATTTCCTAGGAATCACCTGACATCTTCGAAAGCCCGCACATGAGGACTGGGTCCTGTTTGCCTCCATGGGTCTTCTGTCCTGGGAACTCTTCAGAAGGTGGGTCTGTCCATCCTGCTTTCAGTGATGTGAGTGCCCACTAGAACAGTTCTCCACCTGGCTAGAACGTTCAGAATACTTGCTGAAAGTAGCTGTCTTCCAGATAATTGCCAGCTTGCTTTTGGTTCTAACAATTTTAAATAAACTCTCTGTCCTTTTTATTAGTCAGATTTTGTACTGTTATCCTTAAAGTATAGAAGAAACAGGTATTCAGATTCAAACATTTTTGTAAAGACTTGTGTGTGATTAAATAAACAAGTAAAAGTTCTGGTGGCTTTTTGAATTATCTTCTTGATCTTTTAAAATGTGATCTAGGGGGGCGGGGGATTTAGCTCAGCGGCACAGCTCCTGCCTGGCAAGCACAAGGTAGTGAGTTTGATCTCCAGTACCAGAAAGAAAAAAAAACCTAAAGTGTGATCTAGAAGAAATATGAATGGTGTTTTGGATAGACAACATTTTTTTTTTTTTAATTAATTTTTTGTGTGTGGTACTGGGAATCAAACTCAGGACCTTGCGCTTGCCAGGCAGGCGCTTGTGCCACTGAGCTACATCCCCAGCTAGATAACATTTTTAAAAATTCCTAGCCAGCATTATAATAGAAAGCCTGGGACTGGGGATATAGCTCAGTGGCACAAGTGCCTGCCTGGCAAGTGCAAGGTCCTCAGTTCAATTCCCGGTACAAAAAAAAAAACATTCTATAAGATATAATAGATAGCCTGCATAAAGAGATTTATCCTTTCCCAGCTATGAACTTGTTTCCTCCTCTGTAAAAGAGAGTTATCCCATCTTGTCATATCAGACACATAATTTTGGTTTTAAGAAACAAGCTGCAGTAGCTTTGAGAGGACACAAGTGACAGAAGGGTAGGAGAGTTGGCTAACCCACTTTTCAGAGACATCTGACTCTAACTTTGAAAGGCAAGCCATACAGATCAGGGTTACAATGTAGTCATGGTACTGATGTCTGAGAATAACAGTACAGAGATTTTTATTTCTATTTAGATCGGTTGATGATATGTATTCATTGTAACATACGGAATTTTTTAAAGGACTGTTTAACTTAAAATCTTCAGTTTGGGGCCAGGGATATAGCTCAGTGGTACAAGCGCCTGCCTAGCAAGTGCAGAGTCCTGAGTTTGAGTCCCAGTATCAAAAAAAAAAAAAACTTCAGTTTGTAAACTACTATAGTTGATATACAATAACGCATAAAAGCTTTCTCTTGCCATTAAACGTTATGTACCATAATTCAGAAATAAGCACAATACATTTTCAGTTTGTAGTTGAGAAAAGTTAAAAATACTCTTTAATTGTATTAAAAATATAACGTAGCTTTGAAGCTTGTCTTCATATAATATAGCATTAGAACACTGGTATAGTTTAAAAGTCACCTCAATTTACGATCATTTCAGTTTATACCCTATAAATTAACAATATCTAAACCTGGTATGATAATTAAATATTCAGTGAAATTTAGATAAGATAAATTAATCCACATTTAAAGTTATTGCTACATTTGTGAGTTCAGAATAAAAATCAGAAGACTGCTTAAGTTCTCTATTTGTGCTGCGCTTAGGTATGTTTCCACTGGACTCATTGCCATAGTTTCTTAAATTTTTTAAGGAATTGTTCCTTTATGGCTGAAAGTGTAGATTCTACAAATTATTTTATAATATAACTTGCAGAGCCTTAGCAGAAGATCTGCCAAGGCAGGTTAAGTATTTTGGGGAAAAATGGTGAGTAGAGTACTTTAAGAAAAAAAAAGCAAAAACGAAAATCCAATCAAAAGTATATGCAAGTTACGTTATACCAATGCTCACTCTTTACTCCACTCTTCTATTTCATTTTGGTAATAGGGTTGGACGTCTAAGGGGAAAGCTTTAGGAATGACATTTATTTGATGAGGTCAGAGTTTGATGACACTATCTCCTAAAAATGAGTTGACTAAAAATTGAAATTGAGTGTAGCTGTCCAGAAACTAATCCTAGCTGAAGGATTCTGAAGCCAGTGAATTTGCTGCTTTTTGTGTTTATGTAATCTCTCAGAGTCCCGTAGTAGTTGAACTGATCATTGTTAACAGACAACGTGAGCAGTGATTGGAGGCAATCATTCACTGTTACCTCTGGGGTATAGTCTTTACTGTGCAGTGGAAGAGGTTACTTATGCTGAAGGAAGACCGTCACCAGAGAGGGAGACGGTACCCGTACAGTCTTTGGCAGATACGTTCAGTTTTCCTCGGTCGGTTATTCCCAAATAACTTCGTGAAGCTGGAGTCAAGCTGGTGTTGCACACAAGCTCTACTCAGTCGGCGACTGAACACTGATTCACGGAATCTCGTGTTTGCTGCAGCCTCATTGGTTCTTCGCGTTGGCTCTATGGTCCTTGCCTCGTTCTAGCCACTGGTCCACCCCTGCTTTGAGATTTTGAAGAGCCATGTAACTGTGAACCTGTCAGAGGACAGCAGAGTAACATTAGGAAACAGTCCAGATTTGTAATAGCAAATTTCATATTTTAGGGCTTTATTTTTCTTTTGCAGAGCTATGGCTGCTGCTCTTCGGTGGTTGCTGCAGTGGATTTTAGGGCTTTTTTTGGCCCCAGCTATCAGTTCGACTTTCAAATTCAGAGACTGGGATTAAGTAGTAAAGCATGTATTTGCAAAAACATTAAAAACCAAATGTATGTATTTTATCTTATAAAAATACAAAAAAGACCTATATTTTCAGAAATGAAAGCAGTAACCTACTTTTGCTTAAGAGCCCCATAATTAGAAAGCCTTCAGGCGTGTTTACTCACCAAAACATTAGTTACACCTGGTGAAAAATGTGGCTAGTAAATCCATTCAAATGGGAAGGGATCGAGGGAGGGAGGGCAGGGGGGTGATAAAAGGGAATGAAGGTGTGTTGTGTACATGTGCCGGCTCCACACGGGGAATGTAAACATCACGCACCACAAACATGTGCTAATCATTAAAAACAATCCACACCAGAAAATGGGATTAATGCTACAAGGAGCCGAACTAAGAGAATTGGTTGGACTGCAAATGGCTTGCGGAAGATTAGATTTTTACTGTTTTTGCTCATTTATCATTAACAGGGAACATTTAGTACTTCTAAATTTCACCTCCAACATAATAAGAACCCTGAGGGTGGTGACAAGATGGCCGTGGAGAAATTAAGACATCCTCCCATTACTCCTTTTTAATACTATTTACAGAGTACATAATTAAGAGATTAAAAAGCTAAGGTAAAATCAGATTCACCATAACCTGAAATTTTCGACCTTCTTACCTTGGCCTGACAGCTAAAAGAAGTTTTATTCATGGCAATATGGGCTTTGCCTACATAATAAAATCTACGCTGTATTCTTAAAGAATATTTTAGATGTTACAAAAAAGACTCATTTTGCTCAAATTTTTAGATCAAAAAAAATTGAAGTTTATCAGACTAGTGAAATATTAATTTACATGGTATGAAAAAAACAAGTTTGGTTTGAGAAATGGAACTCTTTATTGTATGCCACCTTCCAAAATGAATTTAGGTTATTTCACAGATGTAGGAAAACTAAATACAGAAAATATGGAGGAGGGAAGGTAGGTGTAGGGAAGGCAGAGAGAGAGAGAAAAAGAAAAGATGAAGGCAGGGTGTTAACGTATAACCGGAGTAGTAGAGTAAGAGCTGCCGCCCCGTCCGTACCTGTGGCTCCCCTGCCAGGTCTGGCCTGATGAGGATACTCGGCTGCACATGCCTGACGACGCTGCGTATCCGGCTGAAAGAAAAGGAGAGCTGCATCTTAAAACGCATCTTAAAACTTCTCCCGAAGGAAAACACTTCAGGTTTACAGAGGGAAACATGAAACTGGCAATAATGCAAAAGGCACCATCGGCCAACCGGAGAGAAAAGTCAGCTGAGGGCACTGTAGAATTCTGAAGAAAAAGATATCCAGAGCCACTTGCTAACCTCTAAAAATTACACATTATACAATTTTATTAATATGTCTTTAAGAAAACTTAGCAATCTGTATAAAGGTTCAATACTGCAGTTAGCTTCCAAGGGAATTTTACGTGATTTCTCACTTGTCTGTGTTTTAAAACAACCCACCTTTTCAGTACAGTGATACACTTAGGCTTTACCATATACTGAAATTTAACTTTATACATTTTTAGCTTTATGAAATAAAAAGGAAATATGCTATCCCGCTGGGCTCCTGGAATGAAAAAAAAATCCCTTAATTCCCTGTCAGCATTGAAATGGGGGATGTAAGGAAGAAGAAAACCATTTTTTTTTTTTTTTTAGTGAAGCCACATATTCTAGAAATTATGCTGCAAAAAAAAACAAAAACAAAAACAACAGAAATTATGGTGCAGCAAATTTACTTTTGTGAAGGGCCAGGTAAATCGGGTTTGTTGCCATTTGGTGGTTATGGCAACAAATGAATTTCACTGCTCTGTGAAAAGTAGCCACAGGCAAATATGCTTGGTGACTCTGCTTTTCAGTAAAGCTTTACTAAAAACAGGTGGTAGGCTCAAAAACTCTTCGTAGTTTACTGATCCTTATTCTGCAGAAAGCACCAGTGGGCATAGTGGCAAAGTATTAGTCTTTCCCTCCCTTCATGAGGCCCCTGGACTCAACTAGATTTTGTTTCCTCTTTTTTTGCCTTTTTGAGACAGGGTCTTGCTATGCAGTTCAGGCTCACTTTGTAGCCCAGGCTGGTCTCAAACTTGCAGCAATCCTCCTGCCGCAGCCTCCCGAGCGCTGGGATTACAGGTGTGCGCCACCATACCTGACCCTCATTTAATGACAGCAAATAGGGAGAAAAATGACTAGGATATACATTGCTTTGTTATTGTTAGAAATTTATTTAGACTTTGAATCCTTAAGACTTGAAAGGTTTTCATGGGTTTATTGTTGAGACAACCAGAATTAAATTTTGAAAGTACAGCTATCGAATGTAATTACCAACATCATTTAACATACGTCACCTGGATCAAATTATGAGACAACCAATAGATGTTCTCAGGCGTTTTGGGGTTCAAGAAATCAGAAGTGCTTGTTTTTGCCCTTGTTTTCAGTGAGTGTCCTAAATTAAACCTCATGAAGTCTACTGCATTCAATAGTGTACCCCCAAAATTCATGGCCACCTGTGAATGTGACCATATTTGGAAATACGGTTTTTGCAGGTATAATCAAATTACGGTGAAGTTGCCTGGCATGGTGGCCCATGCTAGTAATCCTAGCACTCGGGAGGCTGAGGCAGGAGGATCGCCGCTAGTTCCAGGCCAGCCAGGGCTCCATAGGGAGTTCTAGACCGAGCCAGGACTACGTAGAGAGATCCTGTCTGGGAAAAAAAATGGCAGTGAGCTCTTACTGGCTTAGGGTGTACCATGAGTTTAGTGACTCTATCTGTAAGAAAAAAGCATACAGGATCCAAGGGCATATAAAGATGAAGCGAACATTGCAACTACCAGAAGCTAGGAAGAAGCAAGGAAAGATTCTCCAGAGTCTGCAGAACGAGCCTGGTCCTGCCAACATCTTGGTTTTAGACGAGCCTCTGGAACTGTGAGGATAAACTTTTATGCCACCCAGTTTGTGCCATTTGTGGTAGCACCAGGAAACTGACACAAAGCCCCCTCCATGTATTATCTTCATGATTCTCTTAGAAGAAGGCTGTCCAGTACTTTGGGCTGACATACTTGAAGGGTCATGAGTTGGGATAAACAGGCTACCAATACCACCATTCTGAAAACTGGTGCACGATGTGGGGCCTTTGGTTTGGGGGCACTATGGCCCCAGTCACTTCACAGCTCCACAAGTCCTCCTCTTGCTACTGAGCAGATGAAGTGGCTACACCCTGATGTCCAGGTGGGCAAGGTCAGTGCATGGCCCTCTGGCTCCCAATCAGGCTTTTTTTTTTTTTGTCTTAAGAGTAAAAGGATGAGTAACTGCACAGTAAATGGGACAACAGTATGAGCCTTTAAACACCAGGAGGAAAAAATCCAACTCTTCCCCTGAGTCTCCTCAACCTGATGCCAGACTGACGTAATTCCACGAGCCGGTGGACAGGGAAGTCAGGCTCATACAACACACACTGAGATTTAGCATTTTTAAATATTTTTGAGTACAACGAAAAATGCTATTTAAATTGTTTAGAATTTGTAATTTATAAGGCTGACAAAAGAATGAGCAGGGACCAATTCGGTTTTGGGGTGTTTTTTTCTGGTACCGGGAATCGAACTCACGACCTTGCACTTGCCAGGCAGGCACTGTGCTGCTGAGCTAAATCCCCAGCCCCTGAGCAGGGACCAATTTGAATTTCAACAAAAATAGAATGCTATTTTTTATCCCTGGAACTGCAACTTTTATTCCTGGAGTTAAGCCACTAGGTAAAGTGTTAGGCCTATTCCCCCCGCTATCAAGAGCAAATAGGAAGCAGGTCACTTTACTAGAAACGACTGAGTTGTATTGGGTCTGGAAAAGTCAGGTAAGAGGATCCTCTCCTGGGGCTGCTGATGGTTAGGCTCGTCTGTCACAGCACTCCGAGCTCGACTGGAATCACCTTGGGCATGGAGTTTCTGCAAAGGAGACAGGTGACTTAAAACTAGTGGGAGCTGCATGTGTCCCCCATCGGAGGTCAAGCAGCTCCGATTCCACTGTCATAAATTAGAAGGAAGTTTGCACTTCTGGCAGCGTACAGTATAAATTAAGACCGGAGCACAAATACTGCAGATGACTGCCCGTGAGCACGTGGAAAGGCAGTGAGAGACTCACCGACGATGGCCTGTGCGGCCCCACAGTGCTCAGATGTTCCACTTCGGCGGTACCGATAGGTGGCAGCAGGTTATTTCGACTCAAGGGCATTGGTGAGGGAGAGGAGAAGGGGTCGGCTGCCACTGGGCTTCAGATCCATCAGCAACCGCCACGATGCAAAAGCATGAAATTGAATAACACGAATGAATAGATTAGAAAACAAGGGAAGTAGAGGAGCTTAAATGTGCACAGAAAGCTTTATGCCGCCTATATTTTTAAGGGATCTCAAAAGATTCTGGAAAATTAGGGTGTTATGTATTTCAGAAATACAAATCTTAAGCTAAATCAACACATCCAGTATCTATTTCATTAAACTTTAGTCCTACTTAAAAATTCTATATGTGCTCTAAACCAATGGACAACCCATAAATGATTACTTAGTGAATAGTTTAGGCATAGATTTCATATTCTTTATGTAAAATTCATTAGTTTTACCATATTGTGGAAATTCTGCTTTTGAAACCTACACTCGGGATCCTCTGAGGATTTCTTCCACAGGTCTTGGCGTTCCAGTGCGGGAATGGCTTGTGCTGATCGGATGGAGGGTACGTGGTGGGGGATTACGTCTCCTGGCAGACTGTACTGTATGTGACAGAGATGATGTACTAAGCTCCAGGGCTCGGTTTGGCCAATTTCGGGTTGGAAAGATGGTACTGGACCCAGGCCTCATAAGTAGCTTGTCATCAAGATCTCTAGTGGCCAAATCAAAAACCCACAATGAAATAAAGATTACTTATGTACAGGAAGATAAGACTCACAGGGTAAACACCCTTCTCCTAAAACTTTTAGGGGAGGGAATAAAAATAACTTTCAGTAACTTAGTTTCAGAAGGTAATTTAGAGCACAGCCATGAGAATCTAGTCTTAAAGGAGGACACTATTTCAGTCATAAGAATGGATGTTTGAGACAGCAATTCCACAGGGCTTGGGCCTAGGATAATTGAAAGTTGCGAGGGGAAGGGTGTGTGCAGGCTGTCCCGTGCAGTGAGACCACAGTAGATCACATCTGCATAAACATTTGAGAAATACGACTCTTCCATACTATGCCTAACATCAGTATTTTAAACACTGCCTTATAGATTTGGAGATTCTCTGTTTTTGTTTCTTAAACCACGTGAGAAGGTAACTACTGTATGGCATCTAAGAGGCAGTATTTGCCCCTTGAAATGGAAGGAGAGTTAAGGAATAAAGCAGCTAAGCTCTGTCACCTGTTCATGTGGCTTTCAGCAATCTCCTCAGCTTTTTTTTTGCTTTTTGCTTTTTTTCTGGTACCGGGAATCGAACTCACAACGTCGCGCTTGGCAGGCAGGCGCTATGCCGCTGAGCTAAATCCCCAGCCCTCTCCTCAGCTTTTCAGGCCATTTTATTGTCCTCTAGGACAAAACATGCTTCAGTGTTTGCAGGACTCTGAAGGGAGAACGCCCAGCACGGAACAGGCCCAAGCCTTGAGAATGACAAGAAGCCGTTCTTGTCTTCCTGCCTCCAGTCATCCACTTAGCCATGCCTTGTTTTTCAAACTTCATCCCTGCTTTTTAACAGGTCCAGGCTTTTTATCCTGTGAGCGTATTCATGATTCTGTTATCATCTCTAGCCAGGGGACTTTGAGATCCTTCTCCAAATCTGATCTCTTCCACATTTCCCACTAGATGGCCCATCACTGCAAACTGAATGTAGCCCAAAAGAAACTCATCTTTTCCTGAAAAACAAGTTTCCCTTGAACTTTGATTCCTGCTTCTATAGAATTTCATGTCTTTCATAATTAGTTCAAGTTCATTTCTTTCCTGTCCTGTGATACTGCTTAAGTGCAGACCCAAGCCCTGTGCAGATGCCTTACTTTGGATTCCTGCTACAGCAGTCCAGTCTCTATTCCACTGCTGTGAAATCTTTCATATTCCTGATTTAAATATACGTGCTGCCCAAAGGAAACTAACACTGCTGGTGGGAATGTAAAATGGTATCACTGCTCTGGGAAGTTGTAGGGCAGTTTCTTATAAAATGAAACATGCACCTATTATATCACTCTTTCACTTCCAGGTATTGACTCACAAGAAAGGTGACCACAGGTCCACAAAAAATGATCTATGGAAGAGTATTTACAGTGCCTTTATGCGTAAGAGCCCCAACCTGGAAATAACCCTAATGTTAAAAGGAGGACAAACTGCAGTGTGTTCCTACACTGGAGTACTAAGCAAGAGAAGATCACACGGAACAGCATGGATGAATCCCAAAAAAACGGCACTCAAAGCCATCACAGCCTGGACACAGTGTTCATTCGTTTCATAGTCTCTTCCTTCCCACTAATCATACTGTGGCCTATTTTTAATTTTGAGAGATTGTCAATGATGTTTGAACAGAAGCTTTAAAGTTCTGATGTCTTTCTTATCATACTGTAGCAAAAATAGTCTTGCTTAAATGTTTAGTACTGTCCCATTTTCAAACCTCTTCCCACATTTTTCTTCCTGCCTAGAATGGCTCTGTTGCTCTTCTCTGCTTATCCAAACTCCCGCCTACCCTTACCTACCGAAATGCCTCCTCTTTCGGGCTGCCATACCATTCGCTCTACCGAGCACTTGTTTGGCACTTAGTCACTACACCCCCTACGTGGCTAGGCCTCCTTAACCCATGTGTGACTTTCCAGTTACCAGCTCCCTGCAGGTGGAAATTACGTCCCTTGGACGTTTTAGCCCTGGGTGTATCTGCGGTTCCTCGGTAGGTGCTCAGGAAGGCACAGTGAGGAACCGACTTTGCTTTCTCTTTACTAGTGATTGCTTTAAACTCTGTAGTCTTAAAATTTTATACTTCTTACAGGAGCTTGTCCATTAGGGAGAGATTTCTTGGCTGTAGAGGCATCCCATGAACCAAGAGGCCATTCACATTTGGCTGGTGACTACTTGCTTGACAGAAACTCATCTAAGTGTCAAAAGAAGATGTTACTCATTGGTTGGTTAAGATACCCGCTTGATCTCCCAACTTTATCAGAAGTTAGTATTTCCAATTAGATCATTTATATATTTTCTCTCTCTGCCTTAACTTTTATAATATCTCAGCCAGTAGTTCTCCTCCCCATTTCTAAGTGACAGTAGGTTGGAGATGTCCTGTGAAGCTAAATGAAAGCAATTAACTTTAGATGACCACTATCTCCACTAGCAATTAACAGCCACACTCACAGAGGAGAGATGCCCACTATCTCCACTATCGTGGTGTTTACGTTATAGCAGAAAACAAAACAAGCAGAAAATTCACAAATGGGAACAATAATAGAAACAAATAAATAAGTAAACTTAACTTGATCTCCCTCATCATCGCATAATCCTGAACTCTATTCAGCACCTTAACTATGGGGCTAAACTACAGATGAATCCTAAACTATATACAAACTTAAACCCTTTTCTTTCACTACCCCGGGAGTAGTCAGCTCCCAATGATAACTCAAACCCTGGTTTTTGTTTGTTTTGTTTTTGAGATGGCATCTTGCTAGGTTGCCTAGGTTAGTCTCAAACTCCTGGGCTCAAATGATCCTCCTATCGCAGCCTCCCTATTACGGTACATACTGCCATGCCCGCCTGGATAACCTAAATCCTGGAGATTGTTTATTAGGAATTAATCCTATTTCTCCAGTGGTATCAGGATTTAATCTCACTTGGATTGGCATCACCACCCTAGAGCCCTGCTTGTTTTCTCTCTCAGATCATCAGCTCAGTGCCCTTTCTGCCATCTTCTCCTTCTCCACACAGTGTTTTCCTTCCTCTTTTTCTCAGTGTTTGAGTTCATCTTTCTCCATCCTTTGGTCGTTAGGCAGCCAGAACCATCTAGTTAACTATTCAGGGTTAAGGCTCTCTAAACCACAGCCAGACCAGTCCAGAGTGCTTGATCACCCCTTAAGGAGCATTGGCTTGCACGGTTCATTCCTGATGTGGTGGGTGGGTAATGAATATTGCTGATTTTATTTTTAATACCTCATTTGTGAATCTAGCTGGATAATATCTGGCCAATATACCAACAAAGCTTATGACTAAGTATGACAGTAAAACCCAGGGTTCATGAGCACATCTCAAAGATTAAAACTTTTTTTCTCCCCTTGCCTTTTTTTTTCCCCCCACAAGTAAGGTTAGAAAACCACCATGTAGGAAATTGGACTAAATAAATCATTATACAGGGATGACACCAAGTTCACAAGCCTTCTGCCAGAAAGGGTTAACTTTGTCCTTGTTCTCAGATTTAAGGAGGTTTTCTCTTCCCCTTGCCTTTCTTATTGAGGTAAATATCCAAAGACAAAAATTCATTCATATATTAAAAACCAAAAAGTGTAGCATGCGTTAAAAGGAAAAAAAAAAAAAGGAGACACAAAGGAGTTTAAGGGACAGATGTTCACAGCATAGAAAGTCTGTTATTAGCCCCTCTTTCCCTCATAATGACATCCTTCATTCTTCCCCAAGTAGACTTAGGCTGACCACATAGTTAATCCAGACTGCACACCGTACAGTGCCTCTTCCAAAGAGGTATCTAAGAATTATTTATCAACCCTAATTTGCTATTACACTGAAACTGATCACTGCAAAGAGTCACTGTTACGGTAATAAATACAGAAATGTACTAAAGAGCACTGAGTGAGCAAGTTCCCTGCGGCACTCACCAGGTCTGAGGTAATGGACAGCATCTTAGACTGTGGCACGCGCGGTAACACCAAAGGGTGCGGCTCACTCAGCACGCAGGGGCTTTCCATATCCAGCCTGCTGGTTCCAACATTGCTTTCATCATCTGAGCAACGGAGCAGAATATTTTACCTTGAGAATCTCTGACTCACAGCAATGATACTGCGAAAAAAATTTCCCCTGAAAATCTGTAATCTTTAGCAAGACTTTATTCGTCTTTGAAGCCCAATTTAAAAAAAAAAAAAGAAACCCCTTAAACTGACAGTTTGGTGTAAAATGGTCTTCTAGGATGGTGATGCCTGGTACCCAGAAGAAGGAAATGGAAAAATATCTAGAGTGAAAGCATGTGACGGTCTGGAGTTGATAGGACTGTGTCATACCTGTGCTGTCCAGTGTTGCAGCCACAAGTGACTTAAAATGTGGCCACTATGGTTGAGGAACTATAATTTTTAATATTCATTTACTTATTTATTTAGGTTTTTTGAGACAGGATCTTGCTATGTAGTTCAGGGAAAGTATAACTCCATGGGAGCCTTTGGATCATTAATCCAGACCTCAGTTCCCACAGATAAAGTTATGAAATTGGAAAGTACTGTTAAAAATCACATGATCAGGCTGGGGATATAGCTCAGTGGCACAAGCGCCAGCCTAGCAATCACAAGGTCCTGAGTTTGATTCCCAGTACCAAAAAACAAAACAAAACAAAAAAAATCACATGATCTAAAAGCTGGGTATGGTGGCAGGTACCTGCAATTCCAGCATGTGGGAGGCTGAGGCAGGAGGATTACTCAGAGTTCAAGGCCAGCCTGAGCTATATAGAAAGACTCTGTCTCAGAAAGCCAAAAATAAATAAATAATTTTTTTAAAAAATCACATGATCTATAAGGAAATGAAGGTACTATGAAAAAGAGCATGCAGGAACAACATAATTTAGGTTTGCAAAGACTTTAGAAACTGGAATGAACAGACACAGAATGTAAAACAAAATAAACTGAAAATATAAGAATGACATAAAAATGACAAGCAGATTTAAAAAGAGCACAATAAAACTACAAAAGAGAATTAAAATTAAAAGATCAACAGAAGTTAAGCGCAGAGTGAACCAAAGCAAAAAAAATCCTTAATTCAAGGCAACAAGATATAAACAATGAGCTTGAACACTAAAGGGATGCATTTTACTGTATGTAAATCATACCTTGATTTTAAAAATAGAGAAATAAAAGTTCAGGAAAATACTCTCTTACACACTGACAAAAATTAAAATCAAATAGTAAGTATTAGTAAGACTTTGAACAGAGTAACCTGTGTCCTGGTAATGGGCATATGGGCTGATGTGATCACCTTGGATCATTTGGTGTTATCTAATTTATTTTATACTGAGAATTGAACTCAGGACCTCGCACTCCCCAGGCAGGCGCTTGTGCCGCTGAGCTACATCCCTGGCCACTGGGTGTTATCTAGTAAAACTGCAGATGCATATTCCCGTGCCCTGTCAGTTTCACTCCATGGCACACCCCTAGAGAAGTTTTTATATATATGAGCCAGGAGAAATATTAAAAAATGTTTATAGCATCGGTGGTCATAATTGTCAAACGTTACACTTTAGTATTTTTAAAACACACTGGGATTTTAATATTTCTCATCATCACTGGCTACGAAAATGAATTCAAAAGGAAAAATCATGTTTCTGAGTAAAACTCAGGATGAATGCTTGTGGTCTTTATTGTTTCTAAGTCTTTTCCACTATTATCCTTTGATTTACTGTTGTTTTATTCAGAGAAGGTATAGCTTTTGAAAAAAATTACCAGTGAAAGATTGTTTCCCCATTAGCACATTAGGGTTAAAACTAATAATGATAATTTTTAAATAAATATTTTAAAAATAATAAAAATAAATAAAATATTATTCTTCCATAATTCATGTTTTAAAAACTGTCTTGATTAAAAGTTAAAATGATTACTAAAAGTAACCAGTTGTAGAGGTGAGGGTGGAGCCCAATGGTAAAGCCCTTTTCTGGCATGCAAAAGGCTTTTGTTCATCTGGCCTCTGATAGTTTTACATTGTTTTAATTACTTTAGCTCAGTAAGTTCTAACATCAGGAAGTATGGGTCAGTCCTCTAACATTTGTTACTCAATACTGTATAGTTATTCAAAGCCCCTTGCATTCCATATGTACTTCAGGATCAGCTTGCCCATTTCTGCAAAAAAGGGCAACTTTTTTGTTTGTTTTTTTGTGATGCTGGAGATGGAACCCAAAAGGCCCTGCATATGGTAGGTAGGTAAATACTGAACCACTAAGCCCCAGCCCCAGCCCAGCGGCTGGACTTCTCAGTAAAATTGCATTGAACCTACATACCTATTTGGGGAGTATGGTCATCTTAACTATATTTATGTCTTCTGATTCATGAACGTGGGATGTCTTTCCATTTCTTTAAGATTTCTTTTCTAATGTCTTTCTACAATGCACAACTCTTGCACTTCCCTAGTTAAATTTATTACTAAATATCTTACTTTTTAATTCTATTTAAAGGAGTTATTTTCTTAATCTCATTTTTAATTGGTTGGCTTTGAAAAATAACGCTGGTGTGAATAACATGGCCACAAAGAATTATATGCTTCTGAGAACACACAAAAGGAGCAGTGGATCCTTTCTGAGCTGAGCCTCTACATGAGTATCCAGCCCTAATATTACCTTAATCCCAGCCTTGTGAAACCCTCAGCAGAGAATTAGCCAAGGTGTTCTAGGACTTCTAGCTCAAATTTGTAAGATAATAAGCGTGTATTGTTTAAACCTGCTGTCTGTGATAATTTGTTGAACAACAAAGAAAAAACCATACAAATAATTCTCAACAAATTAAACATGTATCTAATCATATAATCTAGCCATTACACTACTAGGACTTAACCTAAGAGAAATAGACATATATCACCACCCAATTTTTGTATATTATTCTTCATAATAGCTTTACATAGAATAGCCCAAAGCTGAAAACAATTCAGATGTCCATCAGCAGATGAATGTTACAATGAAATACTGTTACAATTAAATACTATTTAGAAATAAAAGGAAAAAAAAAGAAAAGGAATAATTTTTTTTTTTTTGTCTTTTTGAGACAGGGTCTCGCTATGCAGTTCAGGCTGGCCTTGAGCTCACTTTGTAGCCCAGGCTGGTCTTGAACTCGCAACGATCCTCCTGCCTCAGCTTCCTGAGTGCTGGGATTACAGACATGTGTCACCATGCCCGGCAGAATAAATTATTAATACACAATGAAATACATGAATCTCGATGTATCATCATGCTGAATGAAAGAGGGACACAAGGAGTACATGCCATATGATTGCACTCACACAAACCTCTGAAGACCTCAAACTAATCTGAAGAGACAGCAGATCACTCATTTTGTCTGCATTCTTCTAATTCAACATAACAGTGAGGGCAGGAAAGAGGAATTACAAGAGGCATAAACTTTGGGGGTGATGGATATGTTCACTATTGACAGTGATGATGGTTTCATGGGTGGATTTATAGGACAGAACTTACCAAATTGTACACTTCCAACACATGCGGTTTATTATATGTCAGTTTCTGTTCAGCACAGTAATCTGAAAATGTAGATGCCACCTGCATGTTTTTCCTGACAGATCATTATACTCAGGAAGAAAGTACAAGCTCTGATTATCACAGACTAGGCCTTGTTATTCATCCACCCATTCTCAAATTTTGCTAAATACTTGTTAGTTTCTGTGGGAAATACACACATGAATCAGGCCTAGTGGGATGTTGTGATAGAATAATAAATATATATTTGGTCTCTGCTCCTAATTTCTGGCTTATAACTCAGAAAATCCTTGAAATCTCTAAAGTGATATGTATCTTTTTGTATGTCCATAACTGGTGGTTGGGGAATACTTGGTAGTTTCTGGGGTACCGACTGCCCAAGGAAGTTGCCCATGTGATTAGTTCAACCACGAGAACTTCCAGCCCTACCACCGCCCCCAACTTTGGTGGAGGGGAGAGAGGCTGGAAGTTGAGTTGATTGCCAGTTGCCAATGATTTAATCAAACATGCTTACACAATAAAGGACCCATAAAGGCCAAAAGGACTAGGAGAGTTTGCAGTTGCTGAACATAAGAGGTAACTAGAGACTCCAGAGAGGGCTCCACACCCCTTCTCCCGTGCTTTGCCCTGTGTATCTCTTCATCTGGCTGTTCACTTGCATCTTTTGGCATATTTCTTTCTCTCTCTCTCTCTCTCTCTCTCTCTCTCTCTCTCTCTC